TGTTGTTGCCTTTATCCTGGAATGCTCTTCCTCCAGCCAAGGTCTGGCTTGCTGCATCAGTTTCACTTCCTTTAAGCTTTTAGTTAATTATCTCTTTCCTTTATGAGCCTTTTCTACTGTTCTGTGTGAAGTAGCACTACCTAGTTCCCTCACCCTGTGCTATATGTTATCTCATTATATTTCGGCACTAACAAATTACACATTTGTTTCTGTGCAATAAATTGTTTATCCAAGTTCTTGTGGCCTCCCTTGTTTCCTAGCACATAAATTGTAGGAGAGCATGGTCATGGTCTATCTCAGGCGTCCTCAAACTATGGCCCATGGGCCACATGCGGCCTACCTAGGACATTTATCTGGCCTGCTGGGTGTTTTTGCCGCTGCTGCCTATTCTGCTTAGCAGCTGACTCGTCCTGGGGCCTGCAGTCTGGCCATCTGATGGTCCGAGGGACAGTGAACTGGTGCCCTGTTTAAAAAGTTTGAGGACTCCTGGTCTATCTTGTTCATTTCTCCACTCCTGGTATTTAGGGTAGGTTGTGAAACATACTAAGCACTCAATAAATATTGTACGAATGAGTGGTTATTGGTTTGAAGAAAATGTTGATGTGTAGTACTGCTTTCTTTAATACTAATCATGGGTTACACTGTGTAATCTTTAGTTAGCTTGTATTATCATATCAAAAGAAAGAGTCCAGCTAAATTTTGTTAACTTATTGATGCGTTATGTGGCCCTTATGTAGCAATCTCTAGTGTAATAAATAATTTGTTACTAATGAATGTGCCTTCTGCTAAATCCAGTAGTTCAGAGAATATTGTCTCTTATTGACTTTTTTAACCTCTTTTTTGATGCTTATACTGTAGCCTGTTATTTCTGAAAACATCAAGAACTAATTTGAGGTTTAAGGAAATTCCTAGTGTCTTTTATTTACCTTCTAGCATAATCAGAATAAAGAAAGTGGCAATTTCAACACTTATTCCTGGTTTCCCCTACTCCCTTTCTTTTTTCCCAATCGGGAATGCTATACTTGGCTGGAGACAAGCCCTTCTAGGTCAGAGCTGGTGTTCAGAGGGAATGGTGGTAAGCATAGTGCTAAGATCAAGTTAACACTCAGTGGCTGGGTGCAGAGGCTCACGTCGGTAATCCTAGTACTCTGAGAGGCTGAGGTGAGAGGTTTTCTTGAGAACAAGAGTTCTGAGCAAGAGGGAGACCCTGTCTCTACTAAAAAGAAAAAGAAATTAGCTAGGCATGTGGTGGGTACCTATAGTCCCAGCTACTTGGGAAACTAAAGCAGGAGGATCACTTGAGCCCAGGAGTCTGAAGTCGCTGTGAGCTAGGCTGGTGCAGTAGAGTGAGATTCTGTCTCCAAAAAATTAAAAAAAACCAAAAACACAAGCACAGTGGATCAGTGGATATTTGTTATTGAAAAGAATAAAAGAATCTTGTGAAGAACAAGTGAAAGCTGGCATAGTATCTAACTTTGCCCTAGACACTTGTCCAAAGGGAAATCATTCTTTAGTCTGGAATATTGTGACTTATGAAAGCACATTCCCCCACGGCTAAAGATGCTCAAGTTGCACAGCTAAATACAAATGACATTGTAATCTATTTTATTGTTTGAATAATCTGTTCTACTGTGTCTCTCCATCAGCATGAGTAATAAAGAATAAGCTGAATGTTACTATTAATTCCTGTTCTTCATGACTTTACTTCCTGTTAGTAACTGGAGCCCCTAGGAGCCAGATAATTTTTCCAGGCTATGAGGGAATCATGTATTGAGATGCAGCCAAAATATGTGTTAGTCTGACAGATGTAATTGCCAGTTGCAAATTAATTTCTGAGAAACTGAGAGATATGCTAATAGTAATGTAAAAGACACTACCACTTAGGCCCCGTTTATTAAATTACAACCTACATTTCAAACTCATGGATCTATGTGAATTAACACAAACCAAAGCCATTATATAGCACTTACTTGGCAGGACTATCTTGTGTGAAACTAATGATCACAGGTAACAACCAAGTTATGTGGAAGGTCTGTTGCTGTTACTGAAAACGTAATAAATTATCACGATGCGATCTGGATGTGTTTGTATACATGTCAAATTGCAGCGTAGCTGCTCTATACTGACATTGACTAAGCTACCTGAGTATTCCCATGTTGTTTATGATGGAACACAGTGCTGAGGACATTTGTTAGGTATTTTATCCTGTTATATAGAAACAACCACCAATTCTTGGGGGATTATGTAACACATGCAATAGGATATTATTGAATGAGTTTTTGATAAATACTTGGGCTTTGGTCATTAGAAACCCAAGTCTTTTTAGTAATTTTGAAGTTGAGCAAAAAGATAGTTAAAAAAAATTAAGACTTATGATGAAGTAACTATATTGTTATTCATGTTGGAATGTGAACAGGCCTAATTCATGTGGAGACTTATTTTAATCCACAAAGAACTTATTCTGGACAGACTTAGAAGGATCTGAGAAACTGTCTGATGTTCCCAAATTGGGTCCTATTTGCTCTTTTCCTTCCTTCCTCCTTGAAAGGTTTTCCTCCCTGAGATTGTCTGTTGTGTTTCCTCTTGCCTTGATGACCACTTCTCCACTTGTTCTGATAGCCCATTTTTCAGTCTCTTAGGTAGAATTCTACCTCAAGGTTCATCTGTTCCTTCTTCCTTCTCAAACACTTGTCCCCTTCTGTGAGCTGCTCTCATTTGGGTCACCTTTATTTACATAGTGCTGTTAGTCTGCCTAGACCAGCAGTTCTCTAACCTGTGGATCGTAATCCCTTTGTAACACTGAAAGTACATTGCGGTATTAGAAGGTTGAGAACCACTGGCCTATGTGCTCATTCTGGGTGCTGAAAACTGGAGGTGGTCTTGTTCATTAATTGAATCCGCCTACCTTCTTTGCCTGTTCATTCATATGCTAAGGTACCTTTTGCTCTCTTTAATTTATTTTTTAAAGAACACTTAGTACACATACTCACTATTTTTCAATCTCCTAAATGTCTTGATTCTTCATATGTCCTTTTGTTTCCATTTTCACATATTTTAAGTCTCAGTAAGATCTCCCAGCCTCCAGTGCAGTCCACCTGTCACTGTTCATGTTGTCTTAACCATGCCCTTTCTTTTGTAAGAATCTTGAAATGGTTTCCTTTTTTCCCACTTGTAATCAAGATAAAATTCCTTAAACAGTATAGATTTTATAGCTGTATTTCCCAGTATTTCCTTGTGAGGTCAAAATTATAAATATGTTCATCTACAGGTTAGCCCTTAAATGGAAGTTAGTTGTTCCTGATTTTGTTCCTGTATTATCCTCTGCTCAGAATTGTCTTCTGCTCTTCCCTCTCTCAGGTTTTTGAATTGCCCCTCATCTTCAAGACCCCCTTTGTTTTATGCTGCCAAGAAGAGTTGTTAGAGTTGAAACATTTGATTCTCCTAATCATAATACTAACTTGCGATATGACTTTCAGAAAATCACTTAGCCCAATTGTGTTGACTTCTGCATTGCTACAATGTGTACAGCATTTATGCTATGCAGTGTTTCTTTACGCATTCAAATCTAACTTGACATACGGCTTTGATTGCTCCTTTGGGACTAAATAGAATTCCTATGCTAGTGACAGTGTCTTGTTCATACCTGAAGGTGACTTAGCTTTGTGGAAGGAGCAGAAGAAACAAGTTTTAATTTTCCAGGTGAGATGCTATTATTAGTTACTATGGTGAGCCTGGATTTAGTAACTGCACAT